AAAAAGTCAGGTATATATTGTGAGAGAATCTAAATCAAACAAGTTTGAGCCAGATGGGAAGTATGAATCTGTTGTGCTTGTGTGTATTTCTGGGAACTAAAAGAAACTGGAACCCCTAAAGGGTAAGTGTTATGTATGCTTATTATCGCTTAATGTACTAGATCCAAATGCATAAACCAGGACTGCCTTTAGTAGAGCCGGTGTTAACAGCCACTCGATATGTTGCAAAATGATTTACAAAATGAATATAATACAATGATTTGGTGAGTGCGAACGATCTCAGTTATAGGTAAGACTTTGTGTAGCAAGAATAACGTTTTGGGTTGTGGTCTACGATCGCTGGTTTTCTCGATGTTGTGATTTCTCCTTGACTATAAACATGGATTTCCATGATTTTTTAAAGAAAACTTTAAATAAATTTTCCTTGAACCAGTGGTCTTCTTTTTCTTGGCGAAACTTCTGTTGATATGATTAGACGATTAGGCAGCAAAGTAGGATGTTCTGTGACTGGGAATCGTAGTCATTGTGTTTCGGACTTATTTCGCGCATCTGACTATGGTAGCTGCAAGTAGTAAGTCATTTGAGGTGATCGGATGAATACCTATAAACGCTTATGAGGAGACTAGGGTTTATTTACTTTATTCGAGTAAGAGACGATTTTTTACCAAGAAAGTTCTCAGAATTTCCACTTTTACTTTGTTATTCAAAGATAACGTCAAGTTGCTCACTAAGGCAGTAGCTATAGGAGATTACCTTCAGCGGAAACTATATTAAGGTAGCTTTAGGTAATGCGTCATAGAAGTAAGCAGCGTAGGTTAATTGTGTCTAAATATATTAAACGTTGTATGACTGGTCAAATCGTAGTTCTTACGTACGAGTTAGTTTTATAAATAATGAATGTACCGTACAAGCGTTCACCTAGAGTTGCATATCCAGATCATAAACATTATGCCTTCATGTGGTATACATTAAGGGTTAATAGGCTGTTTGATGAATTAGTCCGAGATACTGAAAGTCAGACTTGATTTCTATATCACTGTCATCAATTTTTCAACGGTCATAGGAATTAACAGCTTCGCCAGACTTTCTCTTACATCGGAAACTGAAATTAACAGTCTGACATTTCGAAGGATTTAGTTTAAAAGCATTTTCTGACTCCTGATAGAGAGCTGTTCATCTTTGTACAGTGTAGCTGCGAATTAAAAGACACTAAAATAGTTGGTCCGCGCACTTGACATATTTCATTTCGTATGCATATGTACATTAAGTTCGTCAAACAAAAATACAATTGGTAGTGGACGACTATAATGGAAAAAATGTGATGCAAGACTGCATCTAAAGTACTTCTACTGTGTTTATAGGCGAATTATTCGGGATCGTTAAAGGCTTTAAGTGAAGGCTGAAGATTAAGTAAGAGTAACTTTTCAATAGCTTCTAGAAAAGGGGAGGTAATAGCAATAGGTCTAAATTTAAAACATGTTATATTAGACGACTTAGGTATAGGTACAATTTTAATGTCCTTCCAAACGGCTGGCACAACAATTCTGGAAAAAGATTCATTAAATATGTCCATGAGAGGATAACACAGGATATCTGCACATTTTTTAAGAATAAGGCTAGGCAAACAATCTGGAACCAGGCTACAAGAAGGGTTCAACGACTGGAGAACGTCATTTGTGTTGAAACCAAGGAAGCAACTCTTATTAACACTTGTGACACCAGAAACTTTGGTATTTGTGGGAGAATGTATGAATGCCTTGTTTACCGTACACATATCAAATGAATAGGAAATACTGTTGTAATAGCGGAGGTAATTAGATGCATAAAGGCGTGAGTTATTTAATATTCATAAAGTAGATATGCAAACACCGCAGTTGTTGATCATAGAAATGATGGATATTAGATAACATCACATGATTCAACGGCATATTAGAAATAGATGAAAATTGTTTCTTTGCTCGCTGTCAAGTGAACAGTCTATTTGATGATGTCACTGCATATTAACAGATTAGTGAAGTAACTATCAAGCCTAAGTTATTACATTTACTTGTACTTCATACTTGGCATTTAACAGTATACAGACTTGCAACTGGCTAGATCAGGCGATTTTAGCGTATCGAACAGTACAGAATTATTAGTCAACTTGCTAAATCCTACTTAGTTTTTACAATGTGCTACTGTATAGAAACAGACACGAAATCTTACGAAGGGATAAGGTGACAGTCTCATAATACTATAATAAATCTCCATCCCACTGAATAAGCTTATCATGCATTGATCCGAATTCACTTATTACAAAAGCACATAGTATAGCGACGCAATGAAAAAGTCTAGACGAAGTAGAATTGAAGAGTATATTAAACATTTCATTAATTTACAAAAGAAAATCCCGATGAAGAGTATTAACGTTAGTTTGACCGAGTGATATTTCCGCTGATTTCATATTCGACAACCTGAAAAAAATAAAGCACATGTAAGGACTAGCACAACATGAAGTTATGAAAGATAATTCTACATATCAGCACACACTATGAATACACTGATTCTGTTAATACTAAGTAATATCTCATGCAAATAAATGTATTTGTAGTTTACAGCTGGCTTTTATATTGACACCATAAGCATCAACAGACCCCATATGTTTTCCAGTATTAGAGGATTATACGCAAATTTTAAGACAATATCTGAAACATCCATATTGTCGAGGCGTCTTTCTCTTATTAAGACTACTTGCAGATCAACTTCACACTAAAGACGTTTACATCAAATGAAGTATTGTAAATGTGTAACTTAGAAATTGATCCATAATCTCAGTAATGTCTAATGAGCATAGTTTTATGAATCCTACAGAAATTACATTCTCACATTAAGGAATCTGTAGCCATCAAATATGAGCTGAACATGCTTCAACTCGAAACAGCTATGCACAGTGTTAGAAGCATAGAGAAACATTGAAAATATTGTAAGATACGCAGACTTGTTGCGTTGATGAGGATAACAATGACATATAATGCAACCTAGACATTCGGTCGTTAGACTGCATCTGTACTGCTTCATGTTAATGGAAAATTCAGGAAAAATTCATCACCAAAAAAATTGCAGCATTAAGTTTACAGTGCCAGTGAGAATGGCATAACAGACAGTAGATTGATAGTTATAGAGCTGACTAGATTCAGTTCTCATAATCGACACAATCCAGGTGTATAATAATACTATACACTGAATTAATGCACTAAGTGACATAGTAAGGAAATTTAAACGAGTGGTTGGCTTCTCCACTGTACTGCACTTGCAATAATCATTGATTCCACATAACTCATATCACGCTACCCTAAACAGTGCAAATATACATGAAATACACTTAGAAATAACCTCTCAACTTACGATAATTCCTGTCCCAACACACATACGGTGAGACACATCTACATGATTACTTCTATTCCACAGAAGGCTCTGTTAGCATTTACAGGTGATTTCCAAGTACTGATAGAATTCTTTTGTCAAAAAGGACTGTTCTTCATACGAAAATAGGCTGAATTATTATCCTGAGACGTGAAGTCTCCATTGAATGATACCATGTCGAAAGATGCAGCATCTAAATAAAGTAGACTATCTGTGTAGATGACATTACCCTTCAACTATCCTATCTTCCTCATTATAGCGATATTTTGCTACAGTTTGCCTGAAACACTGATCGTTGCAACCAATATGCTAGGGGGTGTCGCAGTCTGATTACATGACGCGACACCAACATAACTGGCCAGAAAATGGGAATTCCCATCAATCCAGATAAAACATAACACAATTTTATCGAAAATTATTGACAAAAAAATTTCCAAGTGAAATTTTAACAGCTGTTCTAGAACGTGATATTTAAGGTCAGCCAAAAAACGATTTTGCGAATTTCTACATCACTTTCCATTTTTCTTTTCTTTCGCTTTGTTCCTCTCCTACGCTGGTATATAGTCCTCAGTGTTGATGTATGTTCGCTGATGAAGTGGAATTGTGAAGCACTGGGTTAAGACGAAACTTAGACCTAATGAGTCACACTCCGATCTCAGCCTAAGCACAGTGGCGATATCATCAACCACCAATACAACCAGTGTGTGGTTCGTAGCCCCTACTTATACAGAGTTCAAAATATGTAAATATGTAAATAAAATCATAAAAATCAATGAAAAAAGAATGTATAACATATAACAAAATCATTGCAAAAAAATAATAAGTTGAAACTCTGTCCAACCACATTAAGATAACCAGCGTCTTTCCTTTCATATTCCAACTTACTTCATACATCATGTACATATCATTCATTCTTCCCCTCAACCTTTTTTTCGTTTCGTTCTATATTTTATAAAAATATTGTTTTTCTTTCTCCTCTCCTTTACCTTCCTTTTATTGTGCGAATCTCCTACGGCATATCTCTTATGTTCTTGGATCGAAAGTTGTTGGTTTCTCCACCGACTTTCTAAGGGGGGGGGGGGGATAACCCGTAGTGTACATTGAAACTTTTGTTTTAACTCACTCGTCCAATTTTTGGCGCTACTCCACTTCGCCACTTCGCTTCGCGTGCTGCACCTGTACGCTTTCTCCCTCGCTGTACTCTCTTACAAGCATACACCTCAAGCTCCCTACTCCTACGGGTATGGATAAGTGGTAAACCTGTTTTTATATCATTGAGTTATAATCACATTCGTTATAAATATACGTTTGGTTACAGGCAAGTAGCGAGTCCTTTTGTTTTCTATTTTACTCGTTCCTCAGTACTTGCAGGATAGGCAGAGTGCTGATTAAGACCTAGGCAAAAGAAGTTAGTCTTTTGGTAAATGTGACAGGCAAACTCACCTGAGGATAAAACCAGGCACTTACATACCCATCACTCATTTTGCCTAGTATTTGGTATCAATTAGTCCGTTTCAACCTAAACTAATTTCCAATAATTGTTTCCTTTTCTGCAGATAATTTGTGGCGAATTCGTTTCTACGGTCATTGTCACAAGGATGGATGTAAGTGAATGCGATTTCAGATGGTTTTTTGTTACTTATCGTTTGCTAACTAATTCATTCGCGCTCATTTGCTTCGACCCTATTCAGATAAAATTTTGATAAAATTAACGAGTAGTGAACTCGTCGTTGGCTATGACTGTTTCTTGAAGAGTTTCGAAAGAGGCGAAGGGATGGATAAAGCGAGATTAAGCGAATTGTAACTGCATATTGATTTATGGTCGTGGAAGGCAGAAATTTGGACGAAAGTGGAAGACATTGGCAGAGATAAATTACGATTGATTACTTTTGAATGTAGTTATAAAGGTTCAAGAGATAAAAACAAGATGAGTCACCCTGTTTCTTCAAGCTTTATTTTAAAGCATATATTTGCCGTGGGCAAATATTGTTAAATAAATAGAAGGGTATTTATGAAGTTATATATATGTATATACATTGTGCCTCACATTGGATATAACAAATTTAATGCTTATCTAGGAGGTAAGTGTTCAGATATGGAGTTTGTGCATCAATACAGTGGGCGTGATTGCACTTCTTCTTAGTCGGTGTGCTCAAGTGAATTCATCGAGACTGCTTGGTACCATACTGTTTTAGTGAACTGTTAGAGTCTCCACACTGCGAGTTGGTCGCTATGCATTCATTCATGTTTCCTGTACGACTGGCGTTTATACTTTTGGATGTCCATCACTCATTAGGCTTTTGGAACATGAGTGTGTTCACTTCTATTTGATAGCTGTTAGTCTCTTAAGCGTTAGCAACACAGGGGTATGGGTAAACGATTGACGAGATGGGATTCTTCCGTTGAGACTATTTCGCATCTTAAGTTAACATAAGAGTTTCTATGTTATTCAGATATCACATGATGTAATAGTCGGGTTTTCAAGTGGTCACTGAATTAATTTAGATCAGTCTATTCAGAATATTTAAGGAGGGATATATTAAAGTCTGCACTTATTGGATCATTTCTAACAGTTCGAAGCCTCTTGAGGATAACGGTTTAAGTAAATGAGCTAGCATCAGGGTTAGATAAGGTACTTAGGTCAAAAAGTAGGATAGTACTCACTTCTTCAGTCAGAGTTTTGCAGAGATGTGGTGGTAAAATTATGCAGTTGTCGTGTGGTGAACCAAATGTCGTCAGAGCAATAGGATACCGTGTGGTGTGATTTCCTATGAGGTGAGAACTGAGTATCAGTTGCTTTTGTGATCCAACTAGTAATGTTCACTTAATCTTACAATCCAGGAGATTTATATTCATTCCAGCTGAATGGGACTGTCATTGTAGTACGTGACAAACCAACTTTTATATATTCCATACTTGTCCGCTCTATAGGTCTCCGTGTACAGCATTTTTGTAGCTGAATTCAGTAGCTGATGAATAAACTTTTTTGACGAGATTATTGGAATGATAATTATTTTGCTTTTTTGTTATGTAATTCCTTGAATTGTGCAACATATGTGTGAATTAAACCCGTTTTGACAATTACACAGGATCTGTTAGAGGTGAATAAGAGATTATCAATGAAAGTGAAGTTGAAAAATGATATGGCGGCTGAATATCTTGATGAAATCGCATACCTTGGATCTGTTATTGTTCAGCTTCGGGAAGAAAGGCAACAAGAAATCTCAAATGTGAGGGACAGTTCCAAATTGTCACCCTGTCGAGTTGATGATTCTTTATCAGAAGATGAGGAAGTCGCCTTATTGACTGAGAAGGTTAATGCTCGTGAGAAACGTGTAGCTCAGTTGACGGAACAATTGAAGGCGTTCGAAGAAGTTGTGGCTCAAAATTGTGAGGTAGGTATACTTGTTATGCTTGGTGTTGGTTTGAAAAGGAGATGTTCTTTATCCGTACCGAAAGTTTAGTTAGTTCATTAGACAGGATTTTTTTCAAGCTGATGAGGCATTTGGTGTGCCTCACTCGGAATGTTGAGTATTTGGGGAGACTTTCTGTTGTGTATGATCAACTCATGCAGTTTATGGTGTACTTCTAGTGGGACAGGCACGCTAATACAGAGCATTTCACGAAGGTTTATTAGTTCTAGGTCACATCATTTCATTGATTCAATTGAGGCTATTAGTCTAGCTGTTTAATTGTCTTGTATTGACCTCATTTCAGTAGCAAGGAGTTTTGTGATGTACATTTCTGTGTTGTTGAAACCTTTCATTGATTTCACCGGATACCCCTCTTCATATAATAATGTGTGCAGCATTTATCCTAGGCTAATAACATGATTTTGACATAATTTCAAACCATACAGAACGACGAAGTCGTTGTTCTGTGATCGTTTTCGATGACTTAGTCATTTGGGAATAAGTTCCGTATTCCTAATCATCTTATATGTATGGATTTTTTTTCTAGGATCACTGTTGCATTTCGTTTGTAAGTATGGTGATTTACCGCAGAGATTGATTTTATCATGAAATATGTTGTATGTGACGTGTTTAACATCTAATCTATGCTGGGTGTTAAATTTATTTCTCTTCAGGTTTCTGACAACGATGATGAGGTGGACAGTAGTGCACTGTCGGACGAAGTTAAACGGTTGAAAGATGAAATATCCATGGTGAAAACTACTACGGAACAGGAGGAGTCAAAGCATCGTCTACGAATCCTTGAGCTAGAAGAGGGTCGTGATAGTTTGCGGAAAGATATTACTGAACTGGAACGTCAACTAAAGGTATGAGTAAATAAATTTGAAGTTCTTGGAATATGTATCACGTGCCCTAATTGTGTCAATCGATCCAGCTTGACAATATAGTTGATTAATTTCCCTCTTGACTCAATAATTTACGCCTAACGGCATTACTACCATATTGCATCACCTTACAAGGAAGATTGATTGCTGAAAGACGGTTATCCTTTTCAAGTATTCCAATTTCAACGACCGAATGTCAGCCGTAAAAGACGATGGCGTGAACTAGTGAACAGTACACACGTCATTTGGTTGATATCCAGATATCACATCTGTGTGAAAGATGAGGGTGATTTGGAAACTGTGAGATGGACCTTTTGTAGCGTAACCAACGTTTTGTTAGCACTTGGCAAACAAATGAAGTGGTCAGCACAGTCGACTATCCACACTCCCTCTTCTTGAACTATGGATGAGTGCAGATTATATCATCTGCCTAATTTCAGTGTGAATGCCATTTTATGACATAGCATACGAAGAGTTTTCACCTCTTCATTTATAAAGATATTAAAAACACAGAATCTTGATTGTTGGTTGCAACCGATGTTTGGTTTGCAGAAAGGTGTGTTTGACAGCGCACTTCACTTTTACTCGTAGGATAACATCAATCCAGTAGTGAGTTGTTTGTTATACATTCCAAAGAAGCTCTAAGTTGTATATCACAGTATAGTTACGTTCGTCTTAGTGTAACAGAAATTCTATCCCCTTGCATTGTATTTAATCAAGATTACGAAATATTTGGTTTGTATGGCTTGGGCTACTTCAACGGGATACATTTTTGTATATCTGTTATAGGCGACGTGATTCTAGATTGATGAGACATTTTTCCTCTTAACCTTTATTTCTTTTCCACTAAGGAATGTCTATCAGAACTACGGGACACTCAAGTTCACTATGAAGCCTTGAAAACCCAATTCAATGCTACGAGAAATGAACGCGGGAATTCTGCATTTGCTGAGGTTGGTTTATGATCCAATGTTCTGATAAGTATTTTTCTGAAAATATAATGTGTATGTATTTCTAACACTCACCAGGAGTTAAGTCTACATAGACGGCTTACTGAATGACTGACTTTGTCTTCAACGTAAAACTTTTCAGGAAAGTGCAGCAGCTCAAGTTTTTACACTTCATATCGCATACTAAGGTAGAGGGCGGAAATCCAAGAAAATATGATGAACGGAAATGTAGGAGAGGAAAATATGTACATGGAGAGTAATGAGAAGTTAATGTATGTGCCGTGTGTATGTATCGTATAGCAGGATTTTTAGCCACGACAGCAACAGTCTGAAGTCATCGGTTCTTACTATCTTGTACACTTCAAATGGGTAGTCTACACCTCCCTACTTGGCTTTATCCAACAGTTAACGACTTCATGGATTCATGTCTTGTTTTGGTTTAACGGTTCTTTACTTTTCTACAGCTTAATCGTATGTCATTTAACATTGCCGGATTGGGATTCCGATGGATTGTTGTGTGTAACACGTGTCCTAATCATTTTAATCAATGTAGCTGCACAACCTCATCGATTTCCCATCTTTATCTAACAGTCGGTCTTACCTCAGTTTTCCTTATCATTTAACATGGGAGATGGAAGGAACATGTGAAGTAAAGACAGCCAGCTCATTTAGGTCTTCCACTTTCAGAGCCATAAAGGTAGAGGGAGTAAAGTGTGAAATACACATACGTCCTTCGATTGATAGACGGATCACGTCTATGTGAGGGATGATATAAATTAGCAAATGCCACACGAGCTTTTTGTATCCTCGTTGAATCTTCGTCATCATTCGGCCGATTAGGCTTAATGTGACTTCCCCTAATCACATTATTCGTTATTTTTATACTAAGAGTCGGTACAGCCTAGTCCTGCAGGATTATCTCACATTTGACATAGCATGCCAAACATACCAAGATTTACGCTCTAAGTGTTTGGGAGACTGCATTTTGTCAGCGTTTTCATCTAAAAGAACAATGTCATCTGCATGGTTTATATCCACTGGACTGTTATCTGGTAACAAATCACTCCCTACGTCGTTACATCAGTTAGTGCATCTCCGGTGAAATTAAACAAAAATAAATGTATTGTGCATCTTTGATGGATATCACTAGCTGTTATTACTTCATGTGATAACTCTCCACAAGCTCTTACAGGGCTGGACGAGTTGAAGTGGAGTGCCTGGACTGGTGCGGTATGTTTTCTCGGCACTCCCTTAATCTAGAAAACAAAACAGATTGAGCGGAGAAATATATTCCTTTTCACTTAGTTCCTCATCACATCGGCTGGCTCTACACTAATATATTTTTTACATCAAAATGTTTTACCAATCATGTGGTTATTCTAGTTATTCAGTTTTAGGTATAGGCAGGCATGGGTGAGGTGAAATTAGGAGGTTAAAGGTCATCAGAACAACTAACTGACAAATGCTAGAAACAAGATATCTTAAGTTCCAAGGAGGGAAGGGTGAAAATTAATTAGGCGTTAGCAACAACTTAATACACAATCAATAGGTTTGTAAAATAATGACGACTGGGAAGAGTAGGATGACTCAGAAGAGTTACGTAAAACACAAAAAAGTTAATAGAATCAGCTAGAATTGTAAAAATCAACAAAGTGTACAGCCGATGATGATAAACTAGTTGAAAAGGAATATATTTCTTCGCTGAATCTTGTTTTTTCTAAATGGTCATTTGGAAATTACTGAAGCACCCTTAATCGTCAGACATTACCACACTACCTCTCAGAGGACGAAGTGGAATGTGGCTTTCAGGTCAAGGAACTAGGCATGTGTTGTTGAACATTGGTGAGTATACCTGTGTTCCAGAGTCTGTCAAACGTTGGGAATATGGTGATAGCATTCGTCCGAGTCTAAAACCTGCATGGTTTTCATGGATCTGTCTCTGCCGAGCAACTCGTAGTCTACGCATGACTATTTAACATAAAATTTTAAACATTATGTTAGTATGGTAGATCCCTTTACAATCATCATTATAAACTGGAGTACACAACAACGCCGAATGCTTTAATATAAAGCCATCAGGATGGTTTTAAGCAATTAACGATAATGTTGTTCCTCCTTCCGTAATCTCCATTGATGGTGTCAGAGTTGATGGATAGATAGACAGATAGAAGACGTAGAATGTGCTTGTAGAATAGTGAGGAGCAAGTAAGAAGGTGGATGGAAGTGTGTAAGGGGTTATTACCTCCCGGCTGATCACACCATGGACAGAAGTCAGTTTCTTCTCGGAATACCTGAAAAAGGAACAGCATTAGTGCTGTGTGATTCCAAAGCCCTGGGTGTAACTCCTTGAAACCAGTTACGCACAACCTGGCTTCAACTTGTAAGCGTATAATATATATATAAAGACATTCATATATTAGCATAGTGTGTTATATCTTAGTGGTTTTATTGAAGTTACATGCCGTTTTCTCTAAATACAAGTGTGGCCGTTAGTCAAAGGAAATGTGTTTTACTGCATTTCAGTATCATATTTATATATGGTATATTTGAAAAGTGTCATCCTGTGTATTTAAATAAATTTTAGATTGAAGATCGACGCCGACGTGGTGAAAAACTGATTGCTCGACAGCGGGAAATGATCTGTGAATTGGAAGAAGATTTGCAGCGTTCAGAAACAGAAAATAAGCGTATATTTGTAAGTTATGCACAAGGTGAAAATGTTTCCTTATTGATACCTACAATTTGTTTGTAACTTCCAGTCTGTTTTGCTTATTGACATATTCTGACTTACGATATACTTTCACAACTCGGACATTTTATTTATAATAGGCGTTTCCGAATGACGTTACTCATTTGTAAGATAATCTGAACATTATTCGGACGCGTCGTTTAACTTTAAAAGTGCTTACAACTATCCGATACGAAACATCCTGCACAAGTGAGAACAAGTGAACATTCATCAGTGGGGAAGTCTTTAACTCAGAGAAGGCTCGTTCCGTATTCGGTGAACAGAATGAAGCTTTATGAGATAGTGTGGAAGTCTTAGGTAGGAAGTGTGACATTGCCAGTGATGGTGCCAGAGATGATGCTGGTTGATGTATATTGCCTTAACTTACGAAACACACCGTGGGATATAATTTTGTAACGTCAGACGACAAGGGACAGGCAACAGATCGTTTATTGAGAAAATCAAGAGATATTTATAGATTTTTATGTACATTATTATTAGCGTTATTGTTAGCAGAGAAGCAACCTCATCTGATTGGTTGTTTTCTTGCTGAAGGTTACTCTGTACTGCTTGTGACCGTTTCTCAGAAAGTTAAGCCATATATCTGCGAATCGTATTTGCACACATTAAGTCCTCTGTGATTGGTTGTTGAATTCCTCAAGGTTAAGTTTTGTTATGATAATAATAACAAGGACAAATTGATTCAAGTGTTTATATAATCTAGGCAACAGTGAGTGTATAAATAGAATGTGTGTGCTATTAGGGGTGGAGAGAGGAAGTGACTGTTGTGACATAGCAATTAGATAATGTGATAATGATGAGTTGTGAAACCGAGGTTAGAATCTACAAGTACAGCACAGGATACTGATAATACAGTTAGCATTACAAATAGAATAAAATCATAATAAGATAATATTTACAGTTTTCCTGTGTCACCAGGAGAGATAACTATTTTAGAATGCGGGGAGGTGAAGAGATTGAACAAACGTTTTTTTTCTGAGCACAGAGACTGGCTTGAAAAATCATTATGGCGACTGCCTCAGCTAACCCGAGCAACCGAAGACGTACCAACCTAGGGATTTGAGGTGACACTTTATATAGGATTGTAAAATCTGAATTTTTGTCGGTCTTGTGCTCCGTATCCACTAAGAAAGCCAGTATGAAATTTCTGTTTGACTTTACTATACCTTTACCTAATCACAATGGACAATGCTCCAGAAGGCGACGGTGAGCTTGCCGAATCTTTCTACCTATGTAGCTGTCTCCATATTATTATTATTATTACTTCCTTTAATTCCTAGAGGAACATAGGGCTTCAGCCGTGCGTCTCCATTGCGTTCGCTTCTTTACTAGAGTCTCCTCCTACTCCAAGTCACCCTTGGACGACCAACTCGCCGCTTCCCTTTCGGGTTCCACTCGAGCGATGGCTTGTCTAGTGATGTCACTTGATGGTTTCCTAAGAGTATGGCCAGCCAATCCACTTCCATTTCTTCCTGCCTATTTGTTTGACAATCGGTTCCTGGTCGGTTCGCTCCCAGATATCCCTATTGCTGATCCTTTCTGGCCATCTGATCTTGAGAACTGAGCTGTCTCCGTATGAACAGTTAAATTTACAAATGCACCTTGAATTGGTCAGACTCGGTAGCGTATCCCTCACCTGCATTGGAATGAAACAATGAATGGCAAATTTTCAATACAATGTTGCGGTAAAAAGTGTCTTAACTACAATTTTCCGAAGTTTCGATGCCAGCAATTCAATTGTTGTGTCTCCTTTGAATGGTAAAGTCATGTATGTACGTCTCTTCGGCACCATATGAATTTGATTATTGGATATATCACACAGCGAGACAGTATTATTAGTTACTGGATGACAAAGTTTCGAACACAACTTGTTATTGTTCACAATCACTTCATCAATTATAATCACACAACTTCGAAACTTTAGTTTTATAATTTTCTTTTCTCTTGCCTATTTTATTTGTAGGGGTAGTAGAATTTTCCAGATGTCTGAGTGAACGGGTGCTGAATCATTCTTATTACACGTGCTTGCAGTTGATTCGATAAATAAAGCTTCCGTGATCAATCTCTTCCTGTACTCTAATGTATTGCGAACAATAACAATTTGTGTTCGAAACTTTGTCATCCAGTAAATAATAATACTGTTTCACACTATGTGTGATATATCTAATAGACAAATTAATATGGAATTACTTACCACCACAGTGCCCAAGGTTTACGCATGTATCTTATCTACACCATTCGCAGGCATTTCTCT